AGAGTGTGACTTGCCCAAGGTCACCCAGTGGGTTTCCATGGCCAAGTCGGAATTTGAACCCTGGGCATCATTCCCATGATGTTTTAAACCGGTTTGCAAACTGGTTTGAAGCAGGTGAAATGACCCTGGTTCGCACTTGAACTGAATCGCTGAAGCAGTTTAGAGAGGAAGGCCATGTGCTAGACCAGGGGTAGGCAACCTTTCCCCTTTAAGGGCCGAGGGACTTCAGCTCCCAGAAGCCCCAGCCATGTTGGCCAATAGTCCCATGTTGGCCAATAGCTCCTGGGATTCTGGGAGCTGAAGTCCCTCAGCCCTTAAAGGGGAAAGGCTGCCTACCTCTGTGCTAGACCCATTTAATGTGCGTATTTTTGACGCTGATTTTTTCCACGTCTTTTTCAACAAATCGATTCCGCACAAGTTAAACCAGAAGTGGATCGGAATCGATTCAAAATGTGCCCTTCAGCCAGCTGAAGTGGGTCCATTTTGAATCGATTCATTTGTCAATGTGAACCACAACTGGGTTATTTTACAGCAAGAAAAATGTGATTGGGGCAAATGTGGTGTGAACCACGCTCCACTGTCAAACTGATCCATGGATTCGGATCGCAAACTGATTCATTTGTAAGTGGGAATGAGGCCCTGGTCTCTGGAGCCATAATCCAAGGCGCCAATCACTACATAACACTGGCTCTTTATGTGTGTGTGTGTGTGTGTGTGTGTTCACTGCCTTCAAGTTGTTTCCAACTTACAGTGACCTCAAGACGAACCTGTCATGGGGTTTTCCTGACAAGAATCGAACCCTGGTTTCCAGAGAGCCAGTGTGGTGTAGTGGTTTATAACAGACCAACTAGAGCAGGGGCCGGGTTGTTGTCCCTCAGACAATTGGGGGCCCGAAGCTTTATATATATATATGCATATGCATGCACACTCTCTCAGCCCCAGAAAAGCCATGGCAAAACCCCTGTGGAGATTTTGCCAAGAAAACCCCAAGAACAAGTAATAACAACAATAATCAATATTATCATGGCAGGTGGCGGCAACAGGACCGGCCTGGGGCCGGTCCAAAGGCTTCGGGGGACCACATCCGGCCCCTGGGCCTTAGGTTGCCTACCCCTGAACTAGAGTATGTAACTATCATGTCTTTAGGAAAATGTCTTCTGCCAATTTCATTTATTCATTGTACCCAACTCACACTTTTTTTTTTTTTGGTAGTGTTACTCTGACAATGTGCTTCTTTTGGTGGCCTTGGGCAGACAGAGACACTCCTCTATGAACATTAACAGGTAGGCCTAGTGGCGTAGTGGTTGGAGCATTAGACAATGCAATGGCAAACCTCTGAACAAATCTTGCCAAGAAAACCTTGTGCTAGGTTTGCTATAAGTCCCAAATAACACATGCACACTCCAGAGTCATAGTCCAGTGCTCAAATCACTACACCACTCAAACTACT